ATATATATATATATATATATATATATATATATATATATATATATCAAAAATATCACTTTTTATGTAACATATTCAAACAATTTTAATTCAGGAATAATTAACTCTGACTTAAGTGGAATTAACATGCTGCCAAATTATGTTATAAGATTATCTTATCTTTATTATGATTTATGCAACACTAATTAAATTCACAAAGTATTTGTCAAGTATTAGAGGACAATATGGAGATCTAAGCATTACAGTATCAAGACATGGCTTTAAAAATAGCTTGTCAGGTCAAAGTACATATAATCATTAATTACGATTAAACGAATAATGTGAAAGTTGCATCAACGTATTAACGGCACCGCGTGTTAATCCAATTATAATGCTTTACCGATCATTAATTTGATTATCCACAACAACGGACCTGATGATGCAACAAGCAACGTCACACGACGTCTCTCACTTATTTTCAAATAATGAACGGCAATAACCCGCGATTTGTGGCGAAAAAGGTATACGATGCAGACTTATGTTTATTTACGATAACACTGAATCTCACCTCTTTCTCTATCTTTCTTTCTCTCTACTTTCCCCCACTCACTCCTTCCTTCTTCGCACACACTTTCTCGCTCTCTCTCTCTCTCTCTCTCACTTTTTCTTCCTCTCTCCTTCTCAAGATGAGCGTTGAGCGTATCTATAAACACGATTTAGCAAATGAATGAAAATACGGATTTTAGGAGCGTGTACGAGGATATATTTGCCAATGCGTTTACTTTATGATTTTTTTTTTTTAATAACAGCGTCGCTAACGCATTACATTATGAATATGACGCGTAACGTGACACGACATAACGATGTCGCGATTCCGCCGATAGGGAAGTTAACAGAATAGACCTACCAAATCAAAACACAACCTGCCGATGACAGCGGATTAATCCGCGGAAACGACGAACGGTTAAAGGGAAAAGATCCGTCTCGATGCTATTACTTCGATGACATTCGTCGGCATGTTGCAGCGTTAAGAACGCGACACGATATACTATCACAGTAAGAACTCCGTGGCGGCACTTCTGTTTCTTTCCTTTTTTTTTTCTTTTACACAACGCGGAAAAGTTCATCAAGTCCATCAGCTGATATTGCAAAACACGATGAGCGCTGTTCCGCGCTCCTACGCCATTGTGCAAAACCACTAATAATATCGTGACAAGAGGAGCTTTCCAGATATACAAATCGAGATAGGAGTTATTCTGTCCTTGTCTCACTGAGTATTGAAAAAAAACTGAATATAATCCAAGGGCCCTATTCTTGAAATATATTGCACACGAAAATCCTATAGTATATGTAACATATATTATAGGATTTTCGTATGCGATATGTTTCAAGTATAGGGCCTCAGGGCTACGTATTAAAATTCTACTCAATGGATGGAGTATTTGTTCTTTTTGTCCTGATTGGTCAATTAAATGCTACTCTACCTATCAAATAGAATTTTGGAACATAACTCAAAATCACAACTATTCACTGAGCGATTACTGGACTCTTGTATGCTTGTTTGTATCCGATTGGTATATTCTTTTATATCTAAAAAAATATACCAATCAGATGCTTGAGATTGCAGACGTCTTCATTTTATAAAGACAGATTTATCACTTTAGATACTAGACAAACTTCACGAATTCAAATCACTTTTAATTAAATTAATAATACGTTTTTAATTGATTTTCTTAGGAGTCTCCTGTTTAACTATATTACGATTGGACATGTCCATAATATATCTGATTGGTATTTAGAAATTTTCTAGTGAACCATCTATCAAAAGATTTAATATTTGATCGACCAATTGGCAACGTAGGCGATCGAATGCCATTAACGATAAAGTATATATCTAGTATATATCTAGTCCAAGTTGTTTACGACGTGAAAACGGAATTTGATAGTTTATAATTGAGAATATGTTTGCAGTGTTTGATCTACTTATTTTATAACAAAACAATATTAATCTATTCGACAATATTTTGTTAAGTGCTATATACAAAGCAAAGTAAAACAAGCAAACTTAAATTAATTCTAATTAAATTTAAAGATCAGTTTTGTAAATTGAGTAAAACATTTAAATTAAAAGTGGTATATTTGTATTCGTGCAAATTTGATTCATTAGTGTATACAATTTTACAATTGTAACACTTTAGTATCATTGTATTATTTGATTATTTATTTATTTAACTTGATTGGTCGACTAAATTTAATGATTACCAACTACAAAACTTAAAATTGATTATATTTGTTTTTTCCTTTATCTTCTGCATATTATGATTTATATAAAGTATAATATTTTAAATAATTACTAAGTATTATTTTTAATTAAAACAATTAAAAAATTGAATTATGCTCAATTAAGTTTTGCAGTTGGCAATTGAATTTAATCGACTCTATTGAGCTAATCGAAAATGAACAGATCAGCCCGAAAACGATTTTAAATATAAGAACTATGAATACTGATCTAAGATTGTATTTATGCCAATTAGAATATTTTTGTCAGTGAAACAAAAATAATTTAATAAATAGAATTCTTAAACAAAATAAATATAATTAATATTTATATGATAAATTTTAGTTTTGCAAAAGAAATTAATGAAAAATTTAAAATTAAGGGAAAACTTTTATGGCTTATTAAAATGACACATCTTATTATTTGTATTAGATACTTTATTGATATCGCATTCGTTACGCATGCCTATAGAATCCAGCCGAAATGCATGTATGTACTATCATTAAATCCAACAAAAAAATGCATGTCTTCTTATGATAAAGAGAAATGTATTGATATATAATCCTATTTAGAATGTATGACTGGTAAAATAATGACTGAAATTTGAGCAGCGTTACGGATTTATATTTGAGATGCGATAACGATATAACTGGATTAAACATTAAAATTTTCAATTAATTTCAACAAATATTTTGAAAGATAAACACCTCGTGAGATTTTCGTGAACATACAACGCATGGTTATGTTCAATGCGTGCGCATCACGTGACCATTTACAGATATGTGCATACTTGAAACACGACACAAAGGGCGTTCGTATTAAAATACTTTATATTTATTACCATTATTATTATTCATGTTAACAAATGAAATATATCAAATAGAAGCTTTGTCAAGCGCGTATATTAATAATATCTCGATCAAGCCTCCGTATTATTTATTCGCGTGATTCATACATAAATGAAAAATTTTCGTCATTCCAAATTTTCGTGGTCACGTGATCTGACGTAATGTGAAGAAAGAATTACATGGTGCTTTTTTTTATTTCCAAAGGACAAGATTTCCAAATAGCTGTGCTAAAGTTTACGCTTTGTGAAAAACGTTGGAATGAGCGAGGGAGATGAAGAGAGCAGGACCGCGAATGGTGTAAAAGGTGCAACTACAAAACCGATAAACTACGAAAACGGGAGGCAAGACCGTCTACTAAGCCGAGAACGCTATTGCGCACGCGGGCACGGATCTTTCAATGGTGTTAGCAACTCTATTATCACGTTTATCATTGCTCCAAGATCCATCAGATGGCCCTGATCGACAACTTTGAAAGGTAAGTTGTGCATTTCTATTATTTTCTGCGCGTACGACGCGCCGACGGCGTGCAAAATCCGTTGGTCGTGCTCGATGGAATATCGCGGATCGTTCGATGCCGTTTGCAGTCCGTCGCGATCGTTCCACCGGCACTCGCGTTGCTAAAATCGTCGCTCTTTGTTAGGCCTGACATTCGCTATCGTACGTATGCTCCCTGATAAATATATCAATCGGTGGGGGGGGGGGAGGGGGTATATATGACACTAGGGTTCACTGCATTTCACCGTTTACATCCCCGGCGTGCCCGCGATTGAAATATTCGCGAGAGCCGCGGGCGCGGATCCAACGTTGAACGCCTCTGCATTTGTACTTTGCGTACCCAAACTCGGAGTATCGATGGTATCGGTCTTCTTTTTTTTCTTCTTTTCTTTTTCTCTTCTCAATTCGGCACAATTCGCTTCATTCGCGTACTCGTATCTTTATCTCGAGAATCGAGAATTATCTCATTTTTCTCGAACCGCCCGAACCGCGATTCGTCTCAGAGTTGATTAAACATTGATTCGCGGGGGCGGACATTTTATGACGTTTTCCGAACTTTTTGTTTTAACCTGTTAATCGTTACACGAAAGAACAGGGCCCCACTCAAGAACATCCGACAAATATTTTAACGATTTTAAATATTTTTCCTTTTACGGAAGATGTCTCTTACGTCATTTTCATTCATCTTTTCGGGACGCGCCACGCAAACTACGTCTTTCTGAGATAAAAGATAACGTCTTGCCAAAATGTACGAAAAGCCTTTTTCTCTTCTTATCTGAATTGCGGGTCGATTACGAGTCTGACGCCATACGTGAATTACTCCTCTATTTTCTCTATCAGCTCTTTTCCCGTCTTCGCGCGTAACGGTGTCGAGAACGATTTAATATGAGAAATTCGGATTGCGCGAGCGGTGATCGATTCTCATTCAAAGCAAAGTGAGAGACACGAGAGCCACATGCATGAGAACACTTGTGGCGGCAGCAGTAGCAATAGCTTGATGCCTGGCTGACCTCGATTGTCGGTACTCTTGATTAAAATCTATCGTTCTGCGTGTAAAAGATGCGTGCGACGAGAATTTCGTAACTTGGAGGTTAAAGCGCGGGCGCATCGCGAGCGGCGAGGTTGAGTTTTTTCTTTTTTTCGCGCTTAATAGTACAGTTGGCTGCGATCAGAACTTATTGCGGGTCACGGGGAGGGAACATTGTTTAGCGGGATTCGGAGAAACTTCGTCGAACATTAACGGCGTTAAGAAACTCGTCGGTGGCTCGAACTTTCACGGCGGAATTGCCATTCGCTGATAACTTCGCATAGAACATTTGCTTATTAACCCTTCAAGTGTGAATCGGTAAATAATGGAAAATAATGGTACTCCACTTTCGATTTATATCGATGTATCGTGCTTCACCTGATCTCGACTCTTATTGGCTCGCGTGTTGTTAGCGGATAAAGGTGTTCAATGTTTCTCCTTTTCTTTTTTAACAACTTTTAAAATGTATTCGTTCGTTTTGAGATTTTCGGAGACAATTAAAAATGTGAATTCTCTTATCGAACGTCAAGTGCGTTCGAGGAATCATTAATATTGTCCTATTTATTCACTGTTGTCATTTGAATTCATGACGTCAAGAATAAGAAAACATACAATGAAAATTCATGCGAGATGCAAGATAAATTCAAATGAAAATAGTTTTAATATATTAACATTCACGATTGAGAAAATAAATTTGTAAAATATATCACAAATTCTCTTTTTTATTGATTATCAATAAATAACTATAATAATATACATAATCATTTAACTTGGTATTACATTTTTCATCAAAAAATATATAAATATATAGAATTACGTGTAAAATGTATGTACATATGTTTTTTTTCTGTTATATAATTTCTATTTGTATATACAAGAAAAATAATAATAAAACTAAAAAAAATAATTAAAAAGATAATTTTTGTATTGTTTCTTGTACAAAAAGTAAAGTTAAAAAATAGAAAAATATCCATATATAGAATAATTATATAGAAATATATATTAGTATATATATATATATATATATGATTGATGATATATATATATATATATATATATATATGTAGTATATGTATTCTGTATATATGATTATATACAGAATATTATATAATGTCATTGTAATTTTATTTTTATAAGGTAAATTAATACAACAGTTATTATTTTTCTAAATATTTTTCAAGTTATTTTTTTTATAATTTTGCTATATACATGGACAGAGATTATATAAAAAAAAAGAAACATATGTGTATGTATTTTATATATAATTATTATATATATTTATACATCTTTTTACCAGGTAAAATTTAATATGTCTAATTAATTAGATTCTATATATAATTCTTTATTGATTGACTGGAACGGAAAGAAATGTTTGATATGTTCTTATTAATTCTAATGTTGAATATTTATGTTTTCTCATTTTTGACATAATCCAAGACAACAGAAACGAATACAAGCAGAGACTTTAAGAATCACAAGAATAATCTTATAAAAATGTTTGTTTTTCTGTTTCTAATATTATCAATTTAGCTATGATAAAACCAAATATAAAAAAATCAATATTATTTTCACAATAAGCAAAATCGAAATTAATCAAATTGAAAATTCTAGAAAACTTAAGATTATCATTTTAACATTCTTGGTTATAATTAATCAATTTGTTTACTACTAAATTATTACTATTTAAAGTTTTTACACATAACAAATTTTTAGTTATAACCTTAAATCATAAAAAATTGACCAATCGTAATCATTCTTAAGGAGAATAATCAATTGTAATTAATTTTCTTACGAATTTATGTTTATAACTAAAAATTTATTACGTATAAAAGCTTTTATATTTTTTCATGCATCATTAAGCTGAATCAGCAGGAACTTTAAAATGAAATATCGCGTCCTTTTTCGCCTGCAAGTATAAATGCGCCCTCTATTTCTAGTTAAAGCATTCCCCATGTTGAATACATATCTAGCAGACTGCTGCATCGCGATTGTAGCTTAAAAAAATCCAAAAGTATACTCTTATTAGTTGACTTAATATTGTGTAATTCGTTTTTTTTTTAAGGTTGAATTTCTTTTGTACTCGTTAAATGTGATTAAATCGTACCTTGATTCACGCCGAAGACGCGGACGAGCCTCTTCAACGAATTATCGATCACAGTTGCATTGTTAACGGTAAGCAAGAAAATTCAAAATCAGTGTAATTGCAATAATTATATTTTTCGAGCGTCAAAAGTGCATGAAATTGTATCAGATCGCCGCGGACATTTTCGTAAATGATGCCAGGCAAAACTATCGACCGCGCGGTTAACAAGTACACGCGAAAGAGACTCGCGCTTTCGTCGGAATGGAGGAGGAAAAGACGAAGGGAGAGAGAAAGAAACAAAAGAAGTTTAGTCACGAGGAGTAGAGTAGCGTAGAGTAATCTGATGTACCATCGTAATTTTCGTGAATCCGACGGTGCTCTATAGTATGATGAAATATATATATATATATTTCGTGTGCCATTGTTGCCTTCTCGCTGTCACCCGTGAGTTTATCTAGATGAATTTGCATGGATTTGCATATAAAGTACATACACCGGAAAATCGACCAATCACAGGCTTAAAATAAAAGATGCCACATCGTTGTGTTCTATATTATACACGCGCTCGAGATTTGCTCTCTCCTACACTCGGCGCACTTTGAGTGCTGCACGTACGGCGTTACCATGTTCGGATCAATCTTAAACAATTCGTTCGATTTTTGTAATGTTTTAACTGTGTGAGTAGCAATACACGTTTTGCGGACGTATCAGAGAACGCGAGCATTCGGAGCATTCGGAGCATTCGGAGAGCATCGAATGGATTGCTCCCTTCATTTTTTTCGCGCATTGGAATCCAAGAAGATACCTTCGTTTCATTTCGAGAGAATTTAAGAGAGTGCGGGTGGGAAGGTAAATGAAAATGTATTCATTTGTGCTGCGCGGTGTAAAATTTGTTAATTTGTTTTAGTTCCCGCCGTCGAAACGTAAAGTTCACGTATCTCCAATCCATCGCATATAAAATCGATTGTCTGTCAGATGACGTTGAAAATACAGAGCTGGATTCAAAAACGCTGAATGTATCATTTTATTCTTGTTTTTTATCAAATATTAAATAAGGATAAAATAATACTTGGTTGCGCTCGGTGTTATTTCTGAACGCATCCCAGTGTTACATCGCGATGCATTAATACATATTTATGTATAATTCTATATATATATTTTATATATAGAATTCTATATATATATTTTATATATTAGAATTATACATAAAATATATATATATATATATATATATATATATATATACACAGATTAAATTCTATCCGCAGAGTAAAGCTTTGCACATGATGAAGGCAATATGTATACATATTAGGCATAAAAATAAATATTAAATTTAGAAATAAAAACTAAGAATAAAGATTAAATGCATAATAGATACAAGCAAGTATAAGACTTGTATCCACTATGCGTTATATTTAATCTTTATTTCTAATTTTTATTTCCAAAGTTTAATATTTATTTCTGTTCCTAATATTTCCTCCATTGCGCAAGATCGAAATAGCTCTTTTTCCACATCAGCTGATATCGATATGGTTGCGATGTAGAATCGTAGGATATACCGACTGAGCTTCACCCCGCGAATGGAAACACATTTGTTTCATGTATATACGTCATTATGTATACCGCTGGTATTTGCGAAGTATAGTCGACGTGAGTTGTCGCGATTTCTTTTCGCAAAGCGTTTACATGATCCAAAAAACGCACACCAGACACACATATATATACATACATCTTTCGAGAGACATGTGATCTTTTTCAATAACGAACAAGCGATTATTAATCGATTCGCGCGATCGGCGATCGCGGGACGATCCGAGAAAGAGCGACTCGTCGCTGAATTCGAAAAAAAAAAAAGAAATATTGGAAAAGCGACGAGAGAGGAACGTTGGCGGCGCTGGTGTGGCGCGATTGGTCGACGCGAGTTGCTCCTTCACTTTGCGGCTCGTGGCGACCAACGAGACGCGAGCTGCCGCGCCATCGCTACTGCGCATGCGGCCTATGGGAATGTAGCTGTGGCGTACGGGAGACTTTAGAGCTCGAACGCTCAAAAGATGCGTAAAGATTTTTGTTAAAAGTGTTTCAGCGGCTCGGGGAATCGTTCTCGGAGTTTCCGCGCGGATAAACGTCGGTCGGAAACGACGACTCGCGCGTACGACGATGGTCTCGGCCGTAAGATCGAGCCGTGCGTCCGTTATTCGCGGCGAAAAGTGCCGTGCGTAACGCGCGTTGCCCCCTTCGATGATGAGTGACTCCGTGTGATGCGCGCGATGGATGATTCCGCGAGCGCGTTTGAATAGAAAGCCCGCGGCATCTTCTTCCCGACCGCGACCGCCCGATCGCCCGGTGGTACGTCGCTCTTGTGCGGTATGCGCGAGAATTCGCCTCCGTCATTTCGCCTACGATGAATTTCAAAGCGAGTGACAAGTGACGTTGAAACGTGACTGCCTGTGCACCAACGATAGTTCGGCGCGCCATTTAAAATCGTTCCTCCGAGCGCATCGGGCGTCTCCGATGCGACAATTCACGCGATATCACGTCGTCTAGCGAGTGTTCGTCCTTCTCTTTTCACGAACGGGGAATTTCGATTCCCCGTGAATTATGTAATCGGCATGCGACGTGATATGCCGATGATAAACGCTATGTCCGCTAGGTTCGTAAAGTTTGCGTTTATGCACCGTATATGACCTGTTTATTAAATGGCGATGGAACGTCGTTTCGAATTATTTCATACAGCAAGACGAGACATATTTCATCAAAATTAATTATTGCATTCGCGTGATTGTTTAATTATGCAGAAAGATAATGCGTGAATTATCTGAACTATACTAATTGTATTAAATGCAATTTCGAATCTTATTACTTTTTGTTTTGATAGAACTTTTATCTATTATATACTTACTTATATACTCATTAAATTAACAGTAATCATATAATAATTTACTCCATACTTGCTCCTTTTTTTTTAATTTTTTATTTCTTCTTTCTGAATTAAATACATCTTTAATCATAATGACGATTTATGAAACAGTGATCCATATTCAAGCATTTCATTTATATTTTGCAACTGTTGAAAGTTTTTTGTACCAAAATTGGATTATTCCTTTAGATATAAAAAACTTGCGATAGTAAAATAAATGTTCTGCTGAATGTGGCTGATGAAGCAGCTTTGAAAGAAAAACTGCTCTTTGTTAACAGAATGGAAGAAGAAATAGTAGTAGACGACATAGATGAGAATAATACAGTGGATACACAGCAGACGGATGACTCGACAACATCCGTAATGCCACTGCTATACATTCAACAAAATAAAACTCGTTCTACACAATCATCAAATATAAATCAAGCCCTCGTTTCACCTAGTCCTCAAATCGCTGCTATTATTAATCCAGTTAATAATCAGGTAATTATTGTGAACAAAGTATTTGATATGTATAATAGTATGTGGAGGATGTTATATTCAACACTAGGTTTTTACTTTATGGATTCTGTATGGCAAAATATGCATAGAAGTTGAGAATCTTTTTACATAGATTACACTTATCAATATTTGCAACCTGTATCTTATGTAAGCACTTTAAGATATTATATGATATACAAGAACATATAATTAAAATATTCATAATAACCTAAAATTAAATATGTATCTTTTATCAGTTGGATATTAATAATATATATACATATCATATACCAAATATATGTACATATATATGCACATATATTGGGGTAAAACATAGCAGTACTAAATACAGTTCATATTTGGAGTACATATATAGTATAGCAGCATTCTATGTGTAGGTGGCAGTGAGTGATGTACTCTTCTCGTAGTAAATATAGATTTGGTTAACAGATATCATACAATGGGATTCAAGTGAAAAGATGCATAAAATTGATTTTCTTGTCGAAGTTATATTTTTAAATATTTATAATGATTACATTTTATTATATTTTATGTAATATTTGAAGTATTGTTATTTTTTATTATGTTAAGTACATTGACAAATAAAAGATGGACAGATTGATTAGTGGGATTGATTAATGTGATTGATTAGTTGCGATACGGAAATTATATAAAAGTTTTTATATTTGAATATTTTAAAGTTGAGTTTTGAACAAAAGAGCGATTTTTATTTTTTCCAAACTAATTTTAAATAGCAAATTTATTTAATTTTCATTTTGGATTATGATATTTGCCCAAATAAAGTGTTTGTAACTTTAATTTTAGATTGTAACTGGACAAAATAAGGTATTTATACAAGGACCGACTCAGGTAGCTACATCTCAAAGTAAACAACACATTGTAATTCATCGACCAATAAATACCGTGAGCACTGCAGCAAATTCGCAGGCTCAGAAACATATTTTACTTAGAAAGTCATCATCTACAGCTCAGATATTGCCTTTGAATACAACACAAGGAAGTCAAACCAATGCGCAAGTAGGAAAGCATACATTTGCATATTTGGGAACCCTTATTAAACCCAACAAGACACGAGAATCTGTCGTTATACCTGCAGGTAACGAGTTTTTAAATTTTTGTTTTATAAATTTTTAAATCTGTTTTGTAATCTGCTAACTTACATAATACAGCAAAACAATTAGAGATTACTTAATATATTTAATATGTCAAACGATATATATACATATATATATATATATATATAGTATGTGTATGTATGTGTGTGTGTGTGTGTGTGTGTGTGTGTGTGTGTGTGTGTGTGTGTGTGTGTGTGTGTGTGTGTACATTTATTTAATTAATGCTGCATTTTAATAGGGGCTCTAACACCAACACAGATAACCAAACCGAAATTAGTAATTACTCCCGTAATATCTCAATTAGCCCAAACGTCAACAAGTACTACAAGTGGTTCTCAGAGTCAACCTCCTAAACACATGGCGAATTTAATATTACCAGTAAATATACCCCAGCAAAGTGGTACTACAAAACCTAGTATGTTTAATCTAAAAATTAATAATGGTCAACTCAGTACAGAGAGTAAAGGAACCATAACAGGTAAAAAAGAAATTTTAAAACCCTATTTAATATAATTATTTGGTTACGTGCACATCATTATATGGTAAAGTATAAAATATTTTTATTGCATTGTAATTTAGTGTTACGTGAGTCAAAAACGACAAATTCAACGACACATCCTCCACCATTGCATCCGATAGCAAAAATGAGTCTTTTAAATGCAAATAAAGGCAATTCTAATTCCATAGACAGTATAAAAATTACTGAAAATCCAGATTCGGCCGTTATCACGCCAATCCCAAAGAAAGAAGACAGTCAACCAGAGAAACGGAAAAAAACTATTAGCAATATATTACGAGGTTCCACGGAAAAACGGATGAAGAAGCAAAATATTCCAAAATCTCCTCAAGATAATTTGGCTGATACTAATTATGCATTGAGTAGTCCTGAATCCGAACAAGATAAGGATAAGAAGGCTCAAAATGATGATGATATTACATTGATTAAAGTTATTCCTAGTGAAGATAAAGTTTCAAAACTCAATACAAATATGGATGACGATATAAAGATAGAAATAATTAAAACTCCAAACTGTAATGTCGAAACAGTGCTAGACAATAAGAATGAGACAAAGAGTAATAATTGTGATGAAACAAAAGATCAATTGAATACTTTGAATCAGACTAACACCAATTTTGACGCATCTAAAGTTTTAGACTGGAAAGATGGTGTTGGTACTTTACCTGGAAGTAATTTACAGGTAAAATAATAATTTATATATAATTTATATATTTTAAATATTTTAAATAAAATATATATATTTTAAAGTTAATGTGTATTTAGAGAAGATAAAGAAGTTATTTTATATTATAAAATTATAAACATAACATTTAAATTATATAATATTTATAGATATATAAATAATTATTAATTTAAAATATATTTTTATAGTTTCGTATGAATGAATTCGGTATTATGGAAGTAGTCGATGAAGACGAAAGTAATAAACAGAATAAGGATGGTATTGGTGACAAAGAGAATGTATGTTTAACACAAAATTCTTCAAAGACTAGCTCAGGAATCATTAATAATACAAATATAGAGAAAAAAGGTGAATTAGAACTCGATAGAAATCTTAGAAATATTTATATAAATGTAAATATCTAGAAATTATAATAAAGAAATATGTTTAATTTAGTTGAAGATAGAAAATCTAGATCGGTAAGCGCAGATACAGTATATCATTGTGAAGCTTGTGGATGTTATGGATTGGCTGCTGAATTTGAAAGTCCAATATCATGTAGTCCGTCTTGCACAGAAGTAATAGAAGCTAAAAAACAGCCTGTAAATCGAAAAGACAAAGATCTAAAGTATGTATTTATATGTACATATAGATTTTAAAATTTGATAATAAAGAAATTCTAAAATTCATTTATATGAATGTTTGTACAGAGAAGTACGTATGAAAAAGAAACGCAAAAGATTATTACAAGAACCACAATGGTCAAAGGACATGGATGAAAGATCTGATGAAAAGACACATGATAAGATAAAATTGGAAATGGATGAGGAAAAAGATGTGTTAGCAAGTATAGATGATGAAATTCAAGGAGATTCATCAGAATCCAAGGTAAATCAAATATAATAATTATTAAATTATTAAATTGGATTATTAAAAATTAAACTTGATAACTCAAATTTTTTAAATATTATTTTATGTGTAGTACCCTTGGCAAAGAGGAAAATTGGGTTTTTCGTGGCCAAAGTATCTTGAACATTGTAAAGCAAAAGCTGCGCCTGTTAAATTATTCAAAGATCCTTTTCCCTACACTAAAAATCAATTTAGAGTTGGAATGAAATTGGAAGGTATAGATCCAGAACATCCTTCTCGGTATTGTGTTCTAACTATTGCCGAGGTTGTAGGTAAGTTATTAACGATTGTGTATATATATATATACATATATATAAATTGTAATATAAAATATAAATTTTAATAAAGTATGATAATTAGGTTATCGAATGCGTTTGCATTTCGACGGTTATCCAGAAAATTATGATTTCTGGGTAAACGCAGATAGCATGAATATATTTCCTGTCGGTTGGGCTGAGAAAAACGGCAAGAAATTGAATCCACCAAAGGGTTACACATCTGCAAACTTTAATTGGAATGCATATCTAAAAATTTGTAAAGCATCTTTAGCAGCAAAAAATTTATTTCCGAATAAAAATATACTTCAAAGTGTCTTTCCCACGGTCTTTCGAGTGGGCATGAAATTAGAAGCAGTAGATAGGAAGCATTCTTCATTACTTTGTGTCGCCAGCATTGCAGGTTTAATGGACTCTCGAATATTAGTCCATTTTGATTCTTGGGACGAGGTATATGATTATTGGGCCGACGCGAGTTCTCCATATATTCATCCTGTAGGATGGTCTCATCATAATGGGCGTGTTTTGATGCCTCCAAATAGTAAGAGTTGAAATTTAATAAATCATAATTTGTTTATTTTTTTACATAATTGTAATATCTGTGATTAGATTATAAAGATCCTAAATCTTTCACTTGGGATGCATATTTGAGAGAAACTGGCTCAGTGGCTGCTCCAGCTAGAGCGTTTAAGCAACGACCACCTTGTGCGTTCAAACGTGGTATGAAACTGGAAGCTGTGGATAAGCGGGTCCCACAGTTAATCAGAGTAGCAACAGTCGAGGATGTGAAAGATCACCTGTTTGTATTAATTGCATTTGCATTCCATTGTTTTTTTTTTATTTTGCGAAGTAATAATTACATATTTTCTTTACATAGATTGAAAATAAAATTCGATGGCTGGCCTGACAATCATGCCTACTGGGTTGATGATGATTCACCTGATATTCATCCAGTAGGTTGGTGTGCGAAAACTGGTCATCCATTGGAACCGCCACTTAGTAAGTTATTTTGTTTTACTTGTATATTATAAGATATTTTAATTCGTATATGCGACATATCATTGATATGTCTTATTTTCTCTATCGTATAGCTCCCGATAATCTAAATGATCGACCAGAATGCGGTACATATGGCTGTCGAGGTATAGGACATGTAAAAGGACCTAAGTTTGCAACGCATAATTCAGCATCTGGTTGTCCATATTCTCCTCAAAATTTAAATAAAACGGGACAAATGCCTGATAGACTCAACTTAGCAAAAAATCAGGATTTAAACGAAGCCTATGATTTCGAGGAAGAGATGCAAGAAAAGTTAAAATTGGAGAAATCTGATAGAATAAAGATAGAAAAGTCTGAAAAGCCTGATAAATCTTTGTTCTCAGATGATATGTTGATGATCGACAAGGAGATTAAACAGGAAGATGGAGATTTATCTGATAAGAATGATAAATCTGAAAATAGGTCGGAAAATTCAGACAAGTACGTTGAAATATATCGATATAGTAAATAATTATGAAATAATTATTATTTACTACATATTATTTTTTTTATTTTCATACTATTTTATATATCTATTTTCATATTATTTTCATAGATCGAACAAATGCAAGAATCTGCACAGCGACGGACAAACAGATGATGATGAAGTTTCGAGAAAACGGAAAAAAAGGTTGCTTAAGTCATAAAAGGAATTTTCTCGTGTCTATTTATATTTGTATTATTCAATATCAATATATGTAATATTTTTAGACGCCCAATTTCGGAGGAACCTTTATTTACTACCGTTACTAACGTTACGTATGGTGATCTACATTGGAATACTACCTCATACGCTGCAAATATACCAGTTAAGCAATTACGTAAAGAATTGTATCAGTCTGTATATAATCCGGGATATAATCCTTTGCCGAATGCACCACATATATGGGCGAAACATAGTAATGCCTTAAACAGAGTAGTATCGAGACAAACGACCAATCCACGAAGATGGTCTAATGAAGAAGTCATTAAATTTATACAAAGTATGCCTAATTGTGCAGAAGCTGGTAATGTTTTTAGGCAACATGTAAGTTTCAAAGAAAGTATAATTATGTTAACAATTAATTTAAGTAATGATATATTATTGTTTATTATTGTAGAGTATTGATGGCGAAGCATTTTTAATGTTGACACAAGAAGATTTGGTATCAGTACTCCGTCTGCGACTTGGGCCTGCAATTAAGTTATATAATAGTATAGTTTTATTACGTCAAAAAGCAGCATGAATTGAATGCAAACAAAGCATATGTCTATTGACTGGCGAATGATGTGGCAGCTATTATGATGAAATATCGCCTATAATTTATTTAATTCATTATCAAGGAAATGTAATAGAATTTTTGCCAATATCTTTCAAGATTCTCTTAAATGGGCAAACAAACAAAAGACGAATAAAAGGCACATGCGAGCAAATACTCGCAAATGTCTAATTACACAGTTCTGGAATATTTATCTGAAGTGATTTCTGTTCGAATCGTCAATTGATAGATAATTATCGCGAAATTAAGAATACATATACAATGAATGCGTTTTTACTATTTTGTCGAGTATTTGCAAAATACAAAAATTCAGAATTATATGCATTGTTCCAAGTACTTATGTCCGAATGTGACGTAATTTTTCGTATAAGATGAATATATTGAAAATCATGTACAAATGTAAATATTTTAATTATTAGATATTGTAATAAAAATACTTATGCAACCTTTCCACCTATGCCGAACTATATTTTGAAATTTTCAAACCAAACATGTATTCCAAAATTGTTCCATCGGAAATTTGCACTTGTTAAGATTTTAATTTTTATTTTAAACTATAATTTACATTATATGTGTGTTGACAATTTTTGAAATTTGTTAAGAATCGCAATATATTCATATCTACAATTTCGGCGCCATCGTTATTTTTGTCGCTAAGAATGATATTTTCATGTAATTTTGTAAGCAATTTTATATTTGATTCAATGAGTATCGCAAGTTACATATCTTCACATACATATATTTTACACATATTTTAAATACTTATTAATCCTTCATCATATCTGAAACTTTTTTAAATGATTTCATTTTTATTTCTGACATCGCTTTTATTAATATTTTTTGTACTTATTTGCAAGTGACAATACGACATTTTGAATTTATATTTCACATAGCCGATAAAATGACAGCCAACATGTTCCATCGTCATGATATTACCGACGATCAGTCATGTTAAGATTTTAGTTATTCTAACCGAAGCTTTATTATTCATTGTCGTTCTGTAATATTGATCTATAATTTGAATTGAGTTAAAAAAATTATTAACTTTGATACGTGGATAAAATTATAAAAACAATTTTTTTATATTAAAAATATCGAAAAGTTACAAGATAAAATTAAGTGCAGTTAATGTGCATAAGTGATTACGAAAGGATTAATTATTTAGTTTTTTGTAACATTATTATACATATTTGATCTGCACGAATGACTTTTGTCAATGATAAAATAATTATGAAAAAATTATATTTTTGTACGTTATTGACAAATATGTATTTATGTAATGTTACCACTTGTATGATAATGTATATAATATGATATGTATATAATAAGAAATATAATGTATATAATAAGAAATATTGTATTTTTTAATATCGTTAATTATAAAAATACAAAACATTTTATAAATGTTGTATGTTTATAAGTGTTTTTATAAATGTGTATTTTTTTTAAGATAAATTTATAAGATATTAAAAATTTTTTATAAAATATTAAAAATTTTTATAAAATATACATAACTTTATTGTAAAATTCAATAATATCGTAAAATGAATGACACTATATTATTAATTAAGATAAATTTATATTATTTAGGAATTAAATTCTTTATATAGTAATATAAAAAAAATTATTGCTTTGAAAAGATACACAAAAAATCTTGAAATATATATTTAAATATTATTACAGCTTATTATTTGAATACTATTATTGTTAAATTATTAAGTAAACGTGTAAAGTATAATCATAAAGAATCCTGCATTAATCATATGGAAAAAATTGCTTCAAGCAATTAAATTAAAACTGTTTTACTTATCCGTTATTTTGTTGATTATAAAATGCTGATCAAAAATTTCCCTAGATAAAACCATAAAAAATAGACAGATTTTATTGAAGTATTATTTAAAAATTATTTTTGGGTCTCATTGGTTTGAAAAGTATCTTTATCTACGGTACATAATTTATTCTATATATAAATATTTATATATTTAGTATTTTACATAATTTAAAAATAAATATAATGAGGTTTCGCCTAAAGAAATTTTTGAGTATCTCATAATCTCATATCATACAAAATATCACAATATCAGCCAAATTGACTGAAGCCACTTTTCCAAATAATTAGTCCTTTAAATAAAATTGCTTCTAGAGCAAATATCATCACTTTTGCTGAGCAATATAAAATCTGTTTTACATCTTTTTCTCATACAACATATTTAATATTCAATAAGAAAGATCATAAAATATAATCTATATATTTCTGCGAAATATGAATCTGTGACGACCGTTTTGTAAGTGAATCTCGGTCAAATAATATAGAACGTAACGTTTTGTGTATCCGTACTTACGTATACATTTCTCGAAAACATTTCGCATACCAAACACTTTTTCGGTACTTTTCCTCAATCGCGCGTGACCCGCGTAACAGTTTGAAAAAACAACATACACATTTCTCAGTCTATCCCCTCCCTAGAGCGGCCGCACGCTTGTTGGCACTTCTCCCCCTCCCACCGGCGGTCGGCGACGTGCCCGCCTGCTATGGCGATGTTTACAGCGTAGTCACGGCAACGGCTCATGTGATCAGTCGGTGGTCCGTCGCGCGCCGAGTAACAGTAGACGATCGCGGTGTGTGTCGAATCGGGTCGTGTTTGTGTCGCGCTGCCGCGCCACTTGCCGAGGACTGTTATTTTCTCTTACGGAACATTGTTTGACGATCGTTTGACGATTGGTTGAACGGATAATTCGATGAGGCACGTGGAACGATGATTCGTACGTGTGCGACGTGCCGCAATTCGGTGCGAATCGAATGTGCGGAAGAGTAACGCGCGCGAGCAGCGTCGATGTGTCGATGGTGCTACGTCGATGTGTTTCTACCCTTTGACGAGATACTTCGAGTGTATTAGAAACCTGAGGACCAATAATGCGAGTGGGATCATGACGATAATTCCGAAATGAGGGATGTCGCGATAATCGTGGCGCCGACGAAGTGCGGATCCCTGATCGAATGTCATCTCGATCGCTCGATCGTTCGGTGCGGATAATTGACGGAGCGAATCGTTACAAACTGGTGTAATTCAACGCGGTATGACATGCCGCGTGAATGTGTCTGTTGTGATCGTTGTTCGCGCATACGATTGACAGACGATCAAAGAAATTAGAGCGTTGAGTGTCGCGAGTAAAAGAAAGACGGTGCGAGAAGGTGCGCGAAGCGACGTGAAGTTCGGCGGGGAAGTAAATTCTCGCGCGGTGATCACGTGACCACGCGAGTTCGCCGGGAAGGTCGCGAAATTCGCGCGGCGTGTTATGGTCCGCGCGTTTTCACTCGCGAGGCTACGAAATGATGATAGTGACGCAGCGTTGCGGCCGTCGATGAACTCCAGAGATAGATGCCTAGATCTCGCTGTGGTGGAACAAGGCTGGTGGACTTCTAAGTCCGCTAGCTCTCAGGCTTGTTTGCCGCTTGTCGTCGGCGCGGGCATGATGTCACGAGGCCTGCCGACGAGACGTGGCCTACAGGCGTTAGCGCTCGTCATTGCTACCGCCTATGCCACGATTCTCCTCTACCAGGCTATCGCACCGCGCCAGGTAATTAGACCAACCACTGGATATCTATTATCCGGAAAAGTCTAGAAAACTTAGGATTCTCAGAGAATTCACTTATATCTTAAAAAATCAGGGAATTCTTAGAGAATTTAAAAATCAGAAAATTTATATATA